ATTTTCGATTTTTACTTGGTTTTGGGGGAGAATACAAGTTGCTTTATGTAGATCTATGTGTATATACATGAATATGTGTGTTTTTCATGACTTATTTGTTGATTATGTGCTATTTACTTCATAAATCTAAAAATATGTTAAAAATATTAAGTTTATCACTTGGATCAACATGAAAACCTTGAGAAAAGTATGTGTTATCACATATAATACATGTAAACTTGTAGATCTGGGATTTATACACTTAAAATAGCAAAAAAGAGTGTTGTGTTCAAAGATCTATAAACTAAACTCAAAATTCAGCCATTGACAGAAAAGTTTTGGTCCAATCTCGAACTGTTTTGACCACCTTAATGATAATATTTTTCAAAACTGTTTTACATGCAAAAAAGTTCAGGTTTATACCTTTAAAATGACTACTCTCAAGTTTTCATATGATTTTTCTACAAGTTTTGGCGAATTTTACAAAACTACCTATCAGATTTGAAATAATTTCGGACCAGCCTGTGAATGTGAGCAATTTCACACTTGTTAGAGGCCATTAAAAATCATGAGAAAAATTGTCAACAAAGTAGACAAAATTTCAAAACTTCCAGAATTTACGGATCCAAATTTTGACTTACGATGATTTTTCTACAAATTTTCCAACAACTAGGTCAGAAAAGCCAAAAACCAGAAAAATGTGTATTTTCACAAAAATCAAGCCAAAAATGATATTTTTAACAAATATGGGTTTAAAATGTTATTTTTACCACAAACTAGTCATAAACATAAGTTTTGAACAAATTGGGGACTAAAGTGTTATTTTCACAAAAAAATTGGGCATTAATTGTAAATTTTTGGCTTAATGGGCCAAGAACGTCATTTTTACAAAAAGTGAGCCTTTTATGCTATTTTAGCGAATACTTGAACCAAAATCAACAATAAACTAACAAACAGATTAATTTTGATCATTTCTAGGTTATTGGGCCTTAGTGGCCCATTTATATGTTTGATAGGTTTTGTATACAATTTGCGTGCTATTTGGGCCTATAAATACCTTACATGTGAAATGGGCCTTAGTTGTCCTTTTACATATATTTTGGGCCCATGTTATATAATCTCATTCATATTAGGTTTTGAAATGACTCACATGTTTAGCGATGCCCTAGTGGCTCACTTACATGGTTCGTTGGGCCTGGAATGAGTTTTATACGTTTATCTTCGCGTAAATTCGATTAAGGATCTAGTGAGTTTTTGTCGGTCGACACCTAATAAGTGTACGATCGTAGCCTGTAGTTATAATCAGAGTCTCTTTGAGGGAGAGCGGGGTTTTGTGTATAGATCTATACGGGGATGACACCCCACACCTGAGCTGTTCGCTACAGTTAGACTACATCGGTCTAGGGTGACTATAGCTTTATTCTATTTTTCAGTCGGCGTTCACTAACGCCAAGACAGGCGAAATTGTCATTATTTAGTATGGTTATGACGGCTCACTTAGAGGAATTAATGTTAGGAAGTTTGCGGAAGACTATTTTCTTTTATGTTGGATTACTCGGAAACTTACTCACACTGGTACCCCCACCTCGGTGTTGGTATGACAACATTATCTATTTTCTTTTATGATTGGATTACTCGGAAACTTACTCACACTAGTACCCCCACCTCGGTGTTGGTACGGCAACATTAACTATTCTTCTTTTACGGGCAACATCGGGTTGTCCGGGGACATTCTATTTACATTCTCTTCAATCACTTTTGACGTTCTATTAAACAATAACACACATGCATTAATACAAGATCAAACATAAACATACCAACTATTTTAAGAAAAATACAGGATTTTCTTGTGATTACAAAGTTATACAAATCATTTTCTCAACTATACTTATGAACTCACCAACATTATATATGTTGACGTTTTCAAAATAACTTGTATTCTTAGGGACTCGTTAAGCAGGAGAATCAACAAGAATAGGGGATTTTGTTTTGTGTACTGTTAAACATCATACATTGAATGTTTTGGTCATGTTATTTAAACGATTGTACTTGATGTAAACAATGGCAGTTGTATTATATTATGCATGGTAATGATGATGTTATGTTTCATTTATATTCACTATAATGATATTTCAAGATGAAGTCATGCACAAGCCCCCGGACGTTTCCGCCGTCTGGTTCGGGGGTGTGACATAGTCTGTTGTGAATTCGATGCAACCAACAATGAGGCTGGATACGAAGCACTAATCATGCGATTACAGTTGTCCTAAGATCTTCAAATCAAGGATAATAAGGTATTTGTTGATTTTTTTATTGTTATATAATTATTTTAATGGATCCATATTCCATTTATTTACTATTAATTAATTAATTAATTAACAAAACAAATCCATCAAATAAATATCTTTTTAGATCTGCTTCATTTTGTTCTTACGTGTAACCCAAAATAACACTATTATTTATAGTAATATTACTGAGCTTGTTAGGTTATGGACACTAATCCCCATCACTCCAGTTTTTATTAAAAAACAAATAAATCTGAAAACCTAAAAAATCGTCAGACGTGCCGCATCCAGCAAGGGGCACGTCACGCCTACTGTTGTGATATGTCTCCGGTTCGGTTCCTTCTCCGTGAGGGATGGAAATAAAGGGCCTGAGAATCACAGCAAAGAAAATAAGACCGTCAGTCGTCGTCCGGGAGGTTGTCCCAGAACGAGGCTCCGACGATCAAGTCAGTTCGTGGTTCTAGTGAGGGGGTGAGAAAGTATGAGAGAAATGGTTAATGTTGAATGTTGGTCCCTATTCTTGGAGGAGAAGGGACCTTTTTATACCTGGAATTGGGGGGACAGAACCCCGACCATATCTTCTACTTTTTCAGGTCTGGCAAGGATAGACGACTTCCGATTGGTAGATTGTGCCCCGTGAGTGGCTGTTTTCTATTGGTGCAGGCTAACCAGGGGATCAGCGTCCTGAGCGTTACACCAGTCGCTCTGGAGGACAACTGGTACTATTTTTTCTTGACGTTGGCCTTGGCACTTGGGCACCAAGGAACGAATACGGGGTTGCGAAGGGCGAGGGCGAGGACGCGACGTTAGGCATACACCGTCTTTTTCCCAGGCCGTCTTTCGAATTGACGGTTACGTTATACCTGACGTATTCCTAATGGGATACGTCAACAAGTCCCCTAGTCTAGTAGACGTTAGCGTTTGCTTAGGGTAGCCGAGTTGTTCTTGCTTGGATCTGGACACACGTTCGGTAAGGATGGCTTTTTGATGACTACTGACGTGACAGAGGCATTTTCGCAGGAGGTTTTCATCATTGTAACCGATTAGACTTCCCTCCTGCATTTAAAACTTCCCCTATTTGAGTCGGACCCCCTTTTTCTGGTTCTTCTCACTTCTACTGCTTCTTTTTCTTTTCTCTCTTGTTTCTACTCTTCGACGAACAATGGCTGACTAGAATACCAGAATCGTTCCTTCTTCAAGCGAGTTTAACCGCTCTTCAAGAGCGGTTTGGTTTTCTTTCTGAACATGGCGTGGAGTATCCTCGAAAGAGGGCGATAATTTCTCGCCCGCCGGAAGGGAAGATCGGGGTCCCTATTCCGATCTTCGAGGCTGGTATGAGGTTGCCAACGACGGACTTTTTTTGACAAGATAATGCGTTAGTATGGCTTTCGTGTGGACGACCTGACTCCAAACGCCGTCAACAAGATTGTTGGATTTGAACTCGTCTGTCAGACCCTAGGAGTTCTGCCATAATTTTGGGCATTCAAAGCTTTCTTCAATTCTTCTACTCAGTCCGGTGTTCAGACTTCTTCCCAAAGGCGGGGTGTTCATGCCTTCATCATCAACCAAAAAGCTCTGTAAAAGAACTGGCAAGCTTGGTGGTTCTGGGTAAATCGCAACCTTGTGAGTTTTGGCTATCCTCGCTTGACTACTTTTTCTGATCGAGCTCCAGAACTATTTGGTGCCAGCGCCACTGTGGCACAAGCACTGAAGACCATTTGTGTCAACGACGAGGACTGGATGGATCATATGTTGGCTGCAGTTGGGATGAGCGCTGCCTAGAGGGCTCGGGGGATGATGCCTCAGTTCTTCATTGATAAAGACGGTAAGTACCTCTCCTCCCTCCTTTTGGATTGTTGTTTTCTCAAGAGGCGTAACATGGACTTCTTTTTGGGAGAGGACGCTATGGTGGTTGACATCCCCGATGATGATGCTCTGAAATATTCGGAGGGGATGAAAGAGGGGGAGACTGAACTTACCTGTGAACCCAAAGAAGATCCGGTGGAGACTTCTGCTCTTAGTGAGGATGTTTTTGGCATTGACTCAAACCCTGTTCGCGAAGGTGTTCCGGACCCCAAGACCCCGATCTCGACTGGGGACGGTACTGTCGGGGGTTCTGCTTCTACTCTTACGGAAGCACCGGCCATATATGTGCCAGGATGGGGAATAACCCGGGAGTCTCTCCTTTCACAGCATGCGGCAGCGTATGATTGAGGTTGTCATGCTTTTCCCCCTGCTACCATCGAGGCCTTGGAGCTTCTTTCTAATTCTCATCTTTTAATCAACCTTTTATATGCAGCTGCGCAGATTGGTTCGTATATGACGGTGACTGCCTCTCGCCTTCATTAGGGCGGTTCCAGTTCTAGTGAGCTTGCGTAGTTAAGGCCGAGCGGGATAAACTGAGGGCGAGGTTGCTGGAGTTAGAGGGGGAGAAGCGGTCATTCGAGGAGCAATATGATCTTTTGGAGGGGGAGAAGGTATCTTTGGAGGAACAAGTGGCTACTATGGATGGGTCGGTGGAACGCTTTTCTCAGCAGATCGAGGTCTTAGTGGAGGAGAATAGGGCATTGGTGGGCCAGGCGGATTGTTTTAACAAGAGGCTAGAGGATGAGGTTGCGAGGAGAAAGTTGCATAGGAGAATTTGGGGTGGTTGCTTCAGAAAGGCGTTATCCGGGTGGTGGATAAGGTTGTTGAAAGTGCTGAGTTTGCGTTGGGGGTGAAGCGGATGAAGATGGCATGTGTGGCTGCCGGCGTGGAGAATGGAAAACAGGTGATCCGGGAGCAGGTTGCCGCTGGAAAGTTTGTCTCCGGGGAACCGGAGCTACTGCGGAGCATGCTCAGGCGATGCATGATGTTATAAAATCTTTCATGGAGATGGACTTTGCCTCCTACCTTCTCTTGGGTGAGCTGGACATAGGGGGCCTTCGTCAGATTTGCGATGATCCTGACTCCGAGGAAGGCCATCCTGAAGGTGGCACTTCTCACGCCGGACCTTCCTCCACCCCTCAGTAAGTGATGGCTTTTACCCTTTGTTACTGTTTAATGTTTAAGATAATATTTGTATCTTCATGGTGTTTGTCGAACAATTTTTAAAACAATGTCTAATTTTCTTCTTTGGCCCTGCGTGGTCATTTTAAAATCGGGGGGGGGGGGGGGGGGGGGGGTGTCTAGGTTAAACAATACGTGCTTTGTGTTTTTTGTATGTTAAGTTTGATTTTAGTTGATCGCGTTTCTTCCCCCATTTTTTGTCGTCTTGGATGGTTTGTGTTGGCCAATCTTGGTTTGGATTCTCCCAGAGGTTAGTGTTGGCCTTTGGGGGTCTTGGTCGTGGATATCGTTTATTAACAAGCTTTGGGGGCCAGGGCGTCTGTTCTGATGGGCTCGACGCTCACCCTTCGGTTAGTCTCTGTGAGTTGAGGTTTTAGTTAGCCTGTAGGTGCGAACTCTGGCCGGTTCGTTCCGTTAGGATCTCTTTCTTGGCTAAAAGTCTTCTCTTTCGGGCTTTGATCTAAGCCCTGGTTCAAGGGGAGTTATACTCTGACCCTAGTCATCTAAGCAAGATCGAGGTAGTCACCTCGGGGTCTAAGAGCTTAGGCATTATGTATTTCGAGGGAAAGGTTATGATCCTTTAAGGCCTCTTACTTGCTGTGATCAAGAACTACAACTCTCCTGACCTCATCGACATGTTTATTAAGGAGATGTGATGAGCCTTTGAGGCCTTTGATTGTGGTTTGTCTCATTGGTTATGTGTTGGGTGGCACGGGTGATCAGTCCGTTATTATTTGCCATTTGTACAAAAGTATATCGATACTCGTTCGCTATAAATTTTCTTTTCATTGCATGTTTTTTGGTGCCTTGGAGGCATCTACATTGTCAGATAAGTATCGGAAGTCCGATAGTTTTTGCTATTCTAGGTTTAGGTCTTGGGCTGACTAGTTGGGGTGTGATTATCCATTAGGAGTTTGATCACTTGGCCCCTTCCCTTGATTCCCCTCGAGCTAAGGCTATTGGCTTGGGCTCTGGGGCTCCCAGGTCATTGGGACGAATTCTTCTTTTTGGTCTTCCTTGGCTTGTGTGTTGGGTTTTGATACGAAATATAAGTTTGTTTTTCACAAAAACCGGCAACGGAAGAATTTAAAAATAACAAGTTTATATTTAGTTGATAAAAAAACCAAACCACTATGGATCTATTTGTAGAGGTTAGAATGAAATAAAAACAACCATAGGGTGTTTTAGAAATAACCTTTGAACCCTTTGAACCCACTTGGTTTTGGGGTGTTGATGAAGATGTATAGATCAAAGAACATTATCTTCTCTACAAGTATCCACCATCAAGATTAAGGTAATTGGAATGCTAGTTCCTTCTTGTATAAAGTACTTCTTAAGCCTTTAAGTACTTAACTCAAATAAGCACTAAAGGAGAAGCACTTTGAACCACCAAAAGACTTGAATAATCTTCAAAAGAATGAGAGCTCCAAGCCCTTTCATGCCCACGGTTTTAAGAGAGAAAAAGAGAAGAAGAAGAAGTGCTTCACTTAGAAAAAATGCAAGCCTCATGCATCTCTTATATAGTCCATGCAAAGTAAGGCCTTTTTATTAAAATACTCTAAAGTATTTCTAGTCTTTAGAAGCATGGGAGGCAAAGCATGGAGGTTGAAAAGCAACCCCCATATTTTAATATTTTTGGCCATATCTCTTGAAAAGAGGAGAATTCTTTATTTTTTATAAACTCCAAGTTTATAAAATATAAACTTTTTCTTTAGGTAAAAGACAAAAGAATCCAACTAGTCCAAAATATTGTGCATGACTTATTAATTCATACCATATGAAATAATAACTAGTTATACTCTCTTATAATTATTATTTTCATAAAACAATAATTATTCCCTAATTAAAATACAAGAATCGATATTATTTATTAATAATCTCATTAATAATAAATATACAAAATGTGCCAACTTGATGAAAGTGTGACCCTATAGGATCATATATTATTAGCAATATCACTCCATAATGATTCTTGTGCATATAGATTCAACAATCTCCTACTTGCACAAGATTCATTATAGACTGACATAGACAGTAACTGACGTCTAGCAACAAGCTACTACCCCTAATAATATATGAAGGATGTCATCTCATCAACAATCAATTCCAAGAGCTCTAAGCTACAATTGTTACTAAAGTTGTGGTATCAATTATTCCTTTTTCTCAGACATCATGTCGAACATGAGATATGGATCGTCATCTGTAACACCCATAAAAATCATGCCAATTTAAAACTTTTTAAATCATTCAAAAACAAATAATTATTACAAATTTGTTTTCAAAATGGTTTCGTGTCATAGTATCCCAAAATCAAATCATAAAACATAAGGAGGTTCACGATCACGCCTTCGCCTTCGCCTTCGCCTTGGGCATTGCTTTCTTCATCCGCGTTGACCGTTCTCAACGTGCCAACTGTTATCTCTAATGGAAGTACAACCTCTGTCCCGTATGTTAAGCCGAACGGGGTTTCCCGTGTGCTTGTTCGCGGAGTGGTTCTGTACGACCAGAGTACCGTCGACAACTCCTCTGCCCAATTCCCCTTTGCCTTACCTAACCATTTCTTGATGCCGATCACAATAGTCCGATTGGACACTTCTGTTTGTCCATTAGCCTGTGGGTGCGCTACTAATGTGAATTGATGGTTTATCCCTTTACCGGCACACCATTCTCTGAAAGGATTTTCAGCAAATTGCAGGCCATTGTCACTAACGAGCACCTTAGGTGTTCCAAACCTTGTCATGATATTTTTCCATACAAACTTTATCATGTGTCTTCCTGATATACACGCTAGCGGTTCTGCTTCGATCCACTTTGTGAAGTAGTCTACCGCCACCACCATGTAATTCAGCTTTCCAGGTGCCTCCGGGAATGGGCCTACAATGTCTATGCCCCACTGGTAGAATGGCCATGGGCGGGATATGTTCTGCAGTGGTACTGGTGGGTTTGCTTGGATTGGAGCGTAAGACTGGCATTCTCCACACTTCCTGGTTACTCCCAGCGCGTCTTGGTGTACAGTGGGCCAATATATCCCCATCCATAGCACTTTACTCGTTAAAGCCCTGGCTCCCTCGTGCGCGCCCGCCTGACCTGCATGCGCCTCCTGTAGTGCCTCCATCCCTCTAGCCTGATCTACGCATTTCAACCATGGTGTCGTGAACCCTTTTCGGTACGGCTCCCCGTTTATCAAAGCATATGAGGGTGCTTTTATTCGTATCTTCCTGGCTTCACTGTGGTCGTCTAGTAACACTCCCCTTTGCAAATATTCCATAAATGGTGTCATCCATGTGGGCCCGGTGGTTGTTAAGGTATTCACCTGCTGCTCATCTGTGCTTCTTCCCTGAGTACTTCTACCAAAACCTTCTTCGATAGATGATCGAAACATGTGGATGCCAACTTGCTTAAAGCGTCTGCCCTTTTATTCTCGCTTCGAGGTATTTGCTTGAGCGTGAACCTTCTGAAGGACTGGATCAGTTGTCTCACCATTCTCACATATCTTTGCATTCTCTTATCTCTTGCCTCAAAACTTCCGTTAATTTGGTTCGCGGCTAACCTTGAATCTGTTAGGGCTGTCACAGCCTTCGCCCCCATTTGCTTGGCTAAGCGCAACCCTGCGAGCAAGGCTTCGTACTCCGCCTCGTTGTTCGAGGTGTGAAAGTCGAAACGAAGAGCTTAAGTCACCTCCTCTCCTTCTGGGCTAGTCAAGATTAAGCCGGCACCCGAGCCTTCCCTGCTGGACGCCTCATCGGTATATAGCGTCCACGAGTGGTCGTTGGCTGGGACCTCCTCTACCACCCAGATCCCTTTCTTGGCTAAGCTTCCTTCATCTGGAATCTCGAGCAAGAAATCAGTCAGTGCTTGTCCCTTAATGCTTGTCCTTGGACGATAGCTTATATCATGCTCCCCCAGCTCGATCGCCCACTTTGCTAGCCGGCCCGATGTTTCTGGTTTGAGCAATATCTGTTTGATGGGGCAATTTGTTAGCACCTCTATTTGGTGCGCCTGGAAGTAGCGCCTCAAACGTCGCGCCGCGTAAATGAGTGCCAGGACCAGTTTTTCCAGGGTGGCGTAGTTGAGTTCAGGACCCTGTAATGCCCTACTCACAAAATATACCGGCTTCTGCTCTCCATCCCTTTCTACGGTCAACATCGAGGATATCGCCTCGTTTGAGGTCGAAAGGTACATTTGCAATGTTTCCCCCGGGACGGGGCTGGCCAGTGTAGGTAGCTTGTGTAGTGCTTCTTTAATCTTCTGGAGCGCTTCTTCCGCCGCGGCTTTCCATTGAAAGCTGTTCTTTTCAATACAACCCTTCAGTGTATGAAATAGCGGCATGGCCTTGTCCGCGGATTTCGAGATGAATCTACTCAGGGCTGTGAGCTTCCCATTCAAACCCTGTGCGTCCCTGAGAGTGCCTGGGGGTGGTGTCTCCATAAATTCGTCCACTTTAACTGGTCTAGGCTAGATGCTCTGTTTGGTAACATAGTATCCCAAGAACTGTCCTTCTTCTACCCCGAATGTGCACTTAGCCGGATTCAATTTCATTGTGACTCTTTCTAGTGTACGAAAAGTCTCCTCGATGTCCTGCAACATTTTGTTTTCATGAGAGCTCTTAATCACCATATCGTCGACATACACCTCAATATTCCTCCCAATTTGCTCAGCGAAGATCGAGTCGACAAGGCGCTGGTACGTGGCAACCGCGTTCTTCAAACCAAAGGGCATCTTGGTGTAACAAAAGGTGCCATGATCCGTGTAGAAAGCCGTTTTCTCTTCGTCCTGCTCGCTCATCAGAATCTAATGATATCCTTTATATGCATCTAGGAAACACTTCAGCTTGAACCCTTGCAGTGATTCCACTTTCTGGTCGATCTCCGGGAGGGGGTAGCAGTCCTTGGGACACGCTTTGTTCAAGTCTGAGAAGTCAATACACATACGCCATGACTCGTCCTGCTTGCGCACCATAACTG